GGGATAGTCTGTTAACAGGACTGGGGTCTTCTCAAACAGCTCCCCTTTGTAACTGCGCCATTTGCCGGCCGGGAGATATACATCTCGCTCTTGCTTGCCCAGCTCCAGGACAGGGGCCACCATGAGGGTGTCCCCAATGAGGAACTGGGAGTCAATCTTGTGAGCGAATTCATCACTGGGAGAAATCCACCAGATGGGCCGTATGATGGGGTCTCCCGTATTGGTGACCTCTCCAGCCAACTCCAACAGGAGAGGGGCAACCAGGGACTCATGCAGCTCTGTGAACTTCTGTGCAATCTCAATCACTTCCTTGTCATAGAGCCAGGGGGGAATGGAGAACTGCATGGAGGGCATGAAGGCCGAAAGCTCCAGCCAGCGGATGTACAGCTCCTGGTCTGGGATTTCAACAGCACCTTCTGTCTTGTTCGGCAAAAAGTTTCCTCCAATCATGTCCGGTAGTATGAAAGGGTATCCCAGCATGCTAATGGTGAGCACGGTAGGGATCAGGGACTTGAGGCCAAGCTCATATCCCCAAACCGAGTCGCGGTCGATGATGCGGAAGAAGCAGGAGATGTTTTGGGACTGGTAGCCGACCCTGACTTCGGCGAGCTCGTAGAACGGAATGGCCATTTCCGTGTACCGTCTGGACCAGATGCTGGGATCCGACAAGGGCCTGAAGGTGCTGAACTGCTTTGGAAGGTAGCTTACCTCACCAGCGTCAAATTTAAAGGACGCTATGCCGTACTTCGACCGCAGTTGTTTCAGGTGGCTCTGAAACCACTCCCTGGCTGTGGGATTGGTAAAATCCAATATGGCGCCAATGCCGTTCCACCACTTCACCAGCGCGGGCAGTTTCCCCGTCAGCTCCTTGATAAAGAGCTGTCGCTCTATCCCCACTCCAAAATTGGAGGAATTGTAGTTTATAAAGGGATGTGTCCACAGGGTAACTTTAAATCCCTCTTTTTTCAGTGTTTTGAACATTTCTGTCACATTAGGGAACTTTACCGGATCAAAGTCGAAGTCGCCATAAGTCTGTGTGTAGGTGTCGTCGATTTCAATATGGCTGCAATTAAACTGGTACTTTTTAATCTTTTCTGCAAAACGCAACAGCTTATCCTGGTCAATATCATTTTTGTACAGAGCCCATGTAGACCAGATGGGGTACCGGAAGGCGTTTTCTGATGGGA